CGCAGGTGGCGGCGAAACACCGGCGGAATGCCACCCAGTCACCCGCCGCCATCACAAATTCCTTCACAAAAGGAAGCCATTTATTGAGCGCTGGCACCGCGGACTGCAGTTTTGGCTGGAGGTCTGTTTTGGTGGGAACTCTGTCCCACCCATCAGCAAAAATGGTGGTCGCGTGCATGGGCTGCATTTCTTGGGTTTCCAATGCGGGGGAAACAGCAGCGGCGGAGTCATCTCCCCATGGCCCCGGCACACTGACCCCTTCGACCGGCTTCCCCAGCATTGCATTGGTCTACTCATGATCAAAATGGGTTCATAGTAGCTGTAATTCCCAAAGTGTGGTATAATGTGGCTAATCTGTGTGCAGACACCCATTTGGGTGACATGTAAGGGTAATTTCTTAATGCCCCTGAAACTAATAAGACCTGCCTATGGTCGAGTGAGCACTATATACTTGGTATGCCTCTCCTTTCCATATGTAGTGGATTAACGCGCGCCAAACGGGGAAATTGGAATAACGTGTGGGTTATGGACAGTGGGGTCGCATCAGGGCAAGCAGGTTTTGCTGGCGGATAACGGCCAGAGAGAGATGGTTCGTTAGGTGATTATGGGATGCAGGGCAGTGATTGGCCGGTTGTTGTTGTCAGGGACAAGGTGGCGCCAGCAAGTCTGTGGATGGGAGCAGGTGGTGGCGGGGGCCGCGGGTGCGGGGCGTAGGTGGGGACGCCGGTTCATTAATTAGTAATTAATGAGGATGGGGATAAATACGGGAGCGTGAGAGTGAGATGGGGAGTTATGCTGGGAGCTGGACGGAGACAGTCGGGGAGAAGAAGAAGATATGAGAGATAGAATAAATTAGCAGTGGAGCAGGAGAAGAAGATATGAGATAGAATAGGTTAGCAGTGGAGCAGGAGAAGAAGAAGAGATGAGAGATAGGATAGGCTAGCAGTGGAATGGGAACAGAGAAGACACGAGAGAGACAGTCGGAGTGAGACGGAGAAGCCGAGAGAGAGTGACAATTGGAGTGAGATGGAGACGAGAGGGAGAGAGACAGTCGGAGTGAGACGGGGAAGCCGAGAGAGAGAGCGACATTTGGAGTAAGACGAAGATGAGAGGGAGAGACAATCAGAGTGAGACGGAGAAGCCGAGAGAGAGCGAAACAGTCGAAGTTGAGACAGGCGAAGCAGAGAGGAGATTCGGGGAGAGAGAGACGGAGAGAGAGAGGGAGGGAACGGAGCGAGCGAGGCCAGCGGAGCGCGACGAGCGAGCAGAGAACGCGCTGAAGTCTCGGTTGTGGAATATGTAGAGTTTTGTAAAATAAAGTGACGACGGAAAAATAAGTTGTCTGCGTAAAGTTCAGCACTACACATATAATATGTGTAATTGGTTGAACTGAGTCGCAGACGTAGACTTGGAGGCAACACATTTATTCAGTTCTAACACAGGGTAACTTTCCCCTTAACAGAATAACAACCTATGGTGGTAACCTCCAGGATAACTACCCTAGTTACAACGTAACTGCTACTACGGACCAGGACCAGCAGCTTCGGCCCGGATCCACATGTTGGAGACTCGTCGAACGGAGATGAAAGGTTTCTTCCAGGATGAACAACAACCCTGGTCCCTATCAAGACTCGGTTTATATTCTCTGTGGCGTGGCCGGCTCCGCCCTTGGCCACGTCCACCTTCCAGAATCCTCAGAAAGGATCTGGGTCCCAATCACGTGACCACCCCTAGCCCCCTCTTGGAGCCCTTGTCAACTTAACTGGTCACGTGTCCTCCCGGGTCAACCAGATTGCCATGGCCTCACGTAACCTCATCCTTAGGCCGGCACCCACACACCCTGTCCTGTAGGGTCGGCACTGCACGTAAAGTGTGGTGCTATCTAGCGCTATTATTCAGCGCTCACCGGGCCCCTCTAGGGCCGGCACTGCACCCAGCATGTTGACATCCAGCGATGTCTTTACATATGTAAAAAAGTGGTGATCGCAGTTTATGATGTCTGCAAAGAGAGTATAAATAAATAAACATTAAAATAATAGATACGGCATACACACCTACACCGTGACTTATCACACCTTAGCAACACCACAGCTCATTGGTGTGTTCACTTGTTGAGTGCCTTTCTCAAACACTGTTTAAAACGCGTTCTCCATAACAATTAACATGGATTTCATAAATTAAATTACAAATCTAAACAGGCACAATGCATAAATATGAAAGTAATGTGGCCAACTGTTCGCGTTTTGCATACAACACCAACGTTATTCACAATCACACATATGCCTTAAGAAATACACCGTGAATGCCAGACTGGCAACGAGTTATACCGCAGACAGTGAAGGATCAGCACCCAATACCGCATATAAAATAATACTATAATATTATAATATTCCTTGAGTTTTTCGGTAAAAACACGTAGATAGATAAAATAATAATAACAAAAAATATTAACAATTTTGTGATATTATTATTTTTTGTATTATTATTTTCGTTATTTGATATATTTACGTGGCTTTACCGAAAGACCCAAAGAATATGTAGTCCTGCAGTCACGAAAGCTTTGAGTCAATATTTATAATATTATTATTTCTCATGTTGGTTAATACAATGGTTAAAATGTGCAGCTGTTCATTTGTCTGGTGGGAATTCAGCAGCAAATGCATCACAGCTTGATTGGTTGCTATTTTTTATATTAATATTAATTTACTGCCAAACACTATACCGCAGGGATGATTAGTACCTTGGAGCTATTATGGTCCTCAGTCACAAATACGTTTTACGGAATTGTGGAGCCACAGTAGATATGATCTGCTCATTCCAGCTGAGGTTAACATTGGCAAAGGTTCGTGCATAGCACGCACGCACAATCGATGTTATAAATCCACAAATAGACGTGGAATGAAGTTAGATAATGTTTTTATTACATTATTTAGAATCAGATGCAAGCTAAATATGATTCAATGTCAGTTTAGCAAAGCAGAAACCAGTGCATGTGTGGATATGGACACTTCTATTTAGATTGGAGCAGGGGTTCCAAATTGTGATTTTGGCCATTATTCCACCACAATGATTAGCCTATACAAGTGTAATAAAGGACTCTCTCTCAGATGTCGATCTCCGTTGTCCTTTATTGGGTTCGTAGAATCTCCGTACCACGGCGTCTCGCTCAGGCCTGCGTCCCGCTCGACGACCTCTCCACAGCCCTTGGCTGCTCCGTTGTGCAGTCTCCCTGCTGCTCCAATATGCAGTCTCACTGCTGCCCCATCAGGCAATCCTTGCAGCCACACCGCTGCCCCGCTATCTAGCGTCACTGCTGCCCCTTACACAGCTATCCTCTCACTGCCCTGTTAGCTCTCTTCGTCTGACACCGATGGCCGTCGGTGTCGACGTCTCCCACCGCGTGGCAACCGCGCCACACTCTCTGTCTTGCCCAGCGTGGCCTCCTCGTATTTCACTCCGTCTCAACTCCCCTTTCCCCTTCCGGTTCTCTCTCTAAATCCTCTCCCCCACGTGACCCTAACTCCACCCACTCCTCACGGGACCCAGACTCCACCCCCCCTCAATCCTTGCTCGCATTACACAAGGAAAGTCACACGGTCTTGAACACTCGATAGCTCTTTGGGAATATCTCCACAAAAAAATAAATTCAACTGGCTCAGTGGCATACTCTCCAGCGACGAGGCTTCGTGTCACCCACCTGTGTTCAATATCAGCTCAATGCTGATTTAATTGTTTCACTAATGCTCTCATTGCTACATAAACTTGAGTTGGAGACAAGATTGCGGTTAACATTTCAGTTTTTCAGTTTTCAGTTAACACTATAGTGACAACACCATTGAAATGGTTGAAACGGGAAAATACTTTATAACCCTGAGATATTCGTGTCACGAAAAAAATGTGTTTACATATGTCAGGTGTTGACAGCTTGGTTTACAAAACTAGGTGTCCCAATAGCCATGGTGATGTTAAACTCATCCCTATTAAGCAAGCTGATGGTCTTTTAGGAGGTGCGTAATGAACAGATGACTTACCCATCAGATGTATACAGCTGACAATCACTCGTCATGCTTCTGGTAAATGTGTGGTTATCATTAAAAAATAATGTTTGCCAGATTCAGAAGTGGTAGAGACATTTTCAGGACCATCAGCTTGCCTCAGCAGCAGATCATGCTTTCCCACCTGATGGTGGATGCTTGTGTTACGCCTGAAACGTCGTGATGTACTTTCTTTTATTTTATACCTACGTGACTTTACCGAAAGAACCAAAGAGTATTTTCAGGTGTGTTTTATTTTTTTAATGCAAGTGTGGTGGTCAGGATTGACACACGCGCCACAACCTAGGGGAGGGGTAGGTACTGGTCTGAACCGGTCCGAACCGGTCGGGCAAAAGGCGGTTGGAACCGCTCTGAGGGGAGGGGGGCTGGTGAGAGCTGGGGCCCCCAGAACCCCCGCCCCTCAGAGAGGGGGTATATAAGACGGCTCCCGGAGAGCGGGAGTTAGTCCATCTCAAGCTGAAGCAAGAAGCCGCCCAAAGACCCTGGACTCCAAGCCGCCGATGTCCTTCGACAGGCTGGGGCTGAGTGGGGTGCCAGCGGTGGGTTAGCCTTCCCTAGGCTAAAGAGACGGAGGGCTTAAGTAGGGAGTGTGGTTAGAATAGCCCGGAGGCTGTACCTCCCTAGGTTGTGAGTGTGAGTAAGGGGCCATTCCCCAGTCTGTTAAGGTGTGGTAATTGTTAGTGAATAAAAGCGTGTGGCCTCTAAGAAGTCTCCGTCTCCTTCAAGAACATTATACAAGCACTACCGGTGCATGATTCATTTGGTTTATAATTGAATTACAAAACGTGTACTCAGCATGGATAATCAAACAGACTGTGTAATCATCAAAATGTGACCTAATTCAGACGGGGTCATATCCTCAAAATATGTTCAATGAGCTCATCGGATTTTTATTTTTATTAAAATAAACTATTGTACAGCAAAAAACAAATATAGGCAAATCTCAAGTATGTGTACAGATGCTTCGTGTATTATGAAATTGTTCCTGGTGAATAGTTTGAAGGTTTCTTGAGTGGGTGGCGAACCGGCAGGGCTGACGAGGCGATGGAGTGCGGGTCAGGTGGTGGACAGGTGAGGCTGTTGAGAAAACATTCGATATGGCAATGATCAGACAATTGGCGAAGAGAGGAAGAGAAGACAATGAAGAGCAATAACAATGCGGGTGAGGAGGGAAGGTTAGACAAGGTCAGGTGATAAGTGACAAATAACGTCAATAGCAGCAGCCTCTAGTGGAGGTTAGGACAAAGTGTGTGCATTACATCTCATCTAATATTTGATCCGATTAACCGTGACACGTGTTGACTGTTGTCAGAATATATTTGGCATAAACTATATCGTCCACAAGATAAATTGTACCTATTATTTGCGGCGAATTCTCCTCCCTGCCGTTCCATAGTTCTGAGACCTTTCCTGGTCCATTTCCTTAGTTATCTAAGGAAATGGACCACCCTTTGAGCCTCATGTCTTCTGTACCATTGCAATGTGTTTCCTGGATAGTCGTTCCACTGGTGGCAGCCAACCTCTGCTTGGCACACGGAGCAGCTGCAGGCCTCGTGTTGCCCTTCACATTATCCTTCAAAAGGAGAGGGAAATTTTTGGACACATGTAGCCTCTTTACACCCTCGGCATGTTGGAACAAGTGTAGTGTAATAATGCTGGCTGCTGATGGAAAAACGGTACTGACAGCAGACGGCAGTATACACGCCAGCAGAGAGAGTATATATGGGGTGAAGGGAACTAGAGAGAAGCTCAGGAAGAGGTCCATCTGGAAGCTCCGGGAACCTACTAGTAGGTTCCAGAGAAGGGGCGTGTCGAGGGCAGAGCGAGGCCACGCCGGGAGGATAAAGGGGGGCCCGGGGCGAGTGCTCGGGTTTGTTTCTGGAAGTGGATCCCCTTGCTGTGTCACTGTTCGTCACCTTCATCACTGCCGTCTTGACCATCCTTAGACGCCACTAGCTAGACAGCCTGCCAACTGTACTAGCTAGATAATGCCGTCAAATTAGACGGATGTGTGAATAGTGTGGAAGCACGTAGGGTGTTTGTAGTTCCCTGACGTGTGAGAATAAAGAAGATGCCTTAATTAACCCTGTCTCTGAAGTGAATCACTACACAAGAACACTCAACAAGTGTTGTCCTTCATTGGGGTGGTGACATGGCCCACGGCTCGCTACAGGGGTTCGTGGCTCGAATCAAACGGGCCACCCTAATTCATGCACCAGATGAATTAACCAATATATAAGGACGTTGTTCACTTAAAAAGTGGATGTCAAAGATCTTGTGACATTATTGAAAGACCAGTAGAGGATATACCATTGTGTGCCGGCGTCATGGTCCAATTTGTCGAATAAAGAATAAGAAAAGTTAAATCTTGACTTAAAGCTTTCGTGACTGCAGGAATTCATATTCTTGGGTCTTTCGGAAAAGTCACGTAGATAGGTTCAAATAAAATAATACAAAATAACAGAAAACTACGACGTTTCAATCACAATGCAAGTGGTCGTCTTCAGGAAAAGGGGGGTTAGCTTCCAAGGGAAACTTTTTATAAGGGTTTGAAATGGGCGTAGCCCAAATGGAAGCAGCCAATGATAATGTAATTATTCGGCAGAGAGCTCGGCAGTGGTTCGTTTTCCACCAATCAAAGGACTGCCAGGTGAAAATTAGCATGTTAAAAAGAGATTAGCTGTTAATGGAAGATCGCAGAGCCACAACCAGGGGGTCAGTGCGCGAAGTGACTGTGAAAGTGTAAGTTTGAAATGGGCGTAAAACACAACTAACATTGGAAGGTGGTAGGATGGGAACATCATAGCCAATTATGACTTAAACTGGTTGAAAACGTCCTTCCAATGATTGCGCAGTTTGTACCGATCTTCTCGGTTGAAATTGTGTCTGTCTCTATATATATGGATGGCTTCATGAACGAATCTTTGCTGATAGCCAGTGGGCTTGCAAATTACCTTTGTCTTAGAGAAATCAATTTCGTGTGAGCCCACTGCATTGAAACAATGATCAGCCACGGCCAAGGTATTGGTCCTACTGTGTTTCAGATCTGCCTTATGTTCATGAACACGGTTCGAGGCATGTCGCTTAGTTTCCCCAATGTAAATACTGCCGCAAACACAGCTTAGTTTGTAGATGCCGGGTTTTGCATGTCAGGGATCACATCCTTCACAGATGGGATCAGATCACGAATTTTATGCACTGTGTTAAATCGAACTTGGATCTTGGGTTTGCTCTTGATTTAGGAAATATTTTAGTGACCCCTGCTATGTATGGAAAGGTGATGGTTTTGATTAGGTCCTCAGATGGTTATTTCCCAATGGTTAGGGTGATAGCTTTACAGATTGTGTAGTCTGAATATCCATTCATCTTGAGAGCTTGTTGTAGGTGTTCCAGTTCACTGGCTAGGTGATGATGGTCGGAAATACATCAAGCTCTATGGTGTCGAGTTTTGATGAGGGATTCTTATGGGATGGATGGTGGTGGGAGTCAGGTTTTAGGTAGGCATCCGTATGGGTTGCTTTCCTGTAGACAGTGTCCCATTGAGCCATCTGGTCTCTTACCATTAAAACATCAAAGAATGGTAACTTGCCATCCTTCTCCACCTCCATGGTGAATTTGATTGGTTGGTGTATGGAAATTATGTGGTTGAGGAATTGGTTCAGAGCTGGTCGGCCATGTGGCCAGATGACGAACATGTCATCTACATAACTCTTCCACAAGGACGGATATAGAGTGGATGCCTGGATGGCATCTGTCTCAAATGTTTCCATGAAAACATTGGCTACCACTGGAGATAAGGGAGAACCCATTGGGGTACCCTCAACTTGTTTGTAGAATGTTCCATTCCAGGTGAAGTAAGTGTTGGTTAGGCAGTGTCTCACCAGGGCCAGTACATTAGCATTCAGTCCTTATTGGACCAAATCTTCAATGATTGCAGTGCTGTCAAGCACAGGAACTTTGGTAAACAAAGATACCACATCAAAACTAACGAGCAAATCACCTGGAGATAGTGAGATCTCCTTAATTAGCAATACCAAGTGAGCTGAGTTGAGTACAGTTGAGGTGGTCTTACCAGTAAATGGTTGTAAGGTCTCAGACAGAAATCGGGCCAGTTTATAGGTGGGTGATTCAATGGTGGAGACGATAGGACGAAGGGGTGTCCCTTCTTTAGGGATTTTTGATAAGCCATACAATCTGGGTGGTCGAGCGGCAGGGAGTTTTAAGGAAAACCGCTTGACTGGTTCGATCAAAGATGTCGAATTAGTGATAATTGTTGGTTTTCGTAGTTTTCTGTTATTTTTAATTATTTTCTTTGAACCTATCTACGTGACTTTACCAAAAGACACAAGAATATAAGACAATTACTTACTTAACAAATGCATAGCTACCGTCGCCCCTATTGTGAAAATGAGGCAAGACCCTCCGCAAAAGAATATTGAGATCCAGTGCAGCTTTCCTGAGTATTTTTTTTTAAATGATGGACAGCCGAATGTGTCTAGAGCAGACTGCTACAAAAACCCATATCACATCCTGGATGTGGGATTTTGGTATGGGAGCAGGAACACATCTCCCAATTATTTCCAGGCTCATTACAGGAGAGCAACTCCCACCACCTGATCTCTGGCTACATCATCGTCAGTGCAGGATATCTTCAGAGCAGCCACATGGTCTGCTGCAGGAGCCTTTGTAAAGCATCATAAGCTTGCTAAAGCTGCCTTGGCTGAGGCCTGCTTTGGTCATTCCCACTACCGTGGTTCATGCCTGATCTGCCCTTAAATGGATTGGAAGACCATAACCCTCCTCCTGGGTTGGTAGCTCTGGTATTTCAGCATCATTTAGTTAGTTGTCCTTGCCCCGCACCTCCGATCAGCATGGTTGGCTACGAAAGAAGTTCAGCATACATCAGCTCATGGCTTCTGAACGTTATTACATTAACTACAGATTCCACCACACACATACACCCACATATTATCTCCTACAATGATTCATATTGACCGTTGAATGCCCATATACATGTAATTGTGTTGGCACTTAGGTCTGTTACTTGTGATCTATGGCAAGAGACACTGCAGTGGGCCAGGCATCCACCAATTGGGGATAATTTTGTTTCATTTGCATGGATAAACTAAATTTGGTTTCGGACTAAACGTAATTTATTAGTTTGATTATTATTTTTGTTCAGTTTTTAGTACACTACTTAATTTCCAAATATATTAATTTATTTCCAATTGAATGTTGCTGGCAGCCGATTGGAACAAAATCTGTCTTTGTGCCATGATGTCCTTCATCAAACACATTGGCGATCCTGACCTTCCTTCAATTTAGTACTGTTCGTGATATATATGTACTCAAAACGTTGCATTGGATGCTCCCAGTTGCATCCCATTGTTCAAATTGCTTATGTACTTCATTCTCTGTTTTCTCCAGCTTCTTGTACCTATACTTTTCTTAGCCAGAATAATGTAGATCAAATCTGAACTGAATTTCAGGTCAACTGGACCCAACATAATCAGATATCATCATAAATTAACTATACACCATATCAGGTACATATTTGATGTGCTTGTTATGAACTTCAAATAATCATTTTAATATGCTGTATTAAAAACTCTGCCATTATTTTTGCGTGAAAATGTCTTACTATTATACATACCAGAGCCTACTTAAGGACCCAGATCAGGAAGCTATTTATTGAGAGATTTTTGTTTACACCTGATGGTGCTATGTGTAATCATCTGCGAAATGTCGCTTGTATAAAATTGTCTACATTTTGCTTTACTTCTCAACATTCCAGTTTGCTGCAAAACCAAAATCATTTGCTATGTTTTCCATCGTGACAACGTGATTTGGTTGGCTCTGGCAGATGATGGATGGTTATAGTTATAAGATCTAACCCAAAATAAACCAATTATGAATCATTTTGGTCGGGAAATCCTGCGTAGAAAACTAGAGCCTAGGCCTTAACCTCTTCAAATCCAATTAATGTCAGCTCTGAGCTTTTATCTCAACAAACATCCACATTTATGTCATCAACAGACTTGCATGTCACAATATGGCAGTTTTCAAATTTAAAACAC